AACTATTAGTAGAAATATCTTATAATGATCATACAATCATAAAGTTTGACTATATATTTGGCTAAAGTATTTTTAAGTGTTGAATAAAACAGACGTTTTGCAAAATTAATTAAGAAGAATTTTGTAATACTATTGATGTATTAGAATTCAATGAGTATGAATGTTTTCTTATGAGAACATCAAAACCAAAATAAAAGAAAATGACTCTTGAATCTAACATAAATAAATAAAAGAACTCATGCATCTATAATATACATTATGTCTTTATTTAGTCATTTATTGTTTTTTCATTAGGAACTCATTTTTCATATATTTTTGTTGGAGTTGTAATATGATATTTAAATCTTTTTATATTACGACAACATTTTTATATTTAAAATAAAATGCATGAAAAGTTAATTTATTCTACATTTTATTTTGTTCCTGCAGTCATATGTGTAATAAATTAATTAATTTATCTTACTAAATTTAATCGGTAAAAAGCATTCGTCGCCACGTGCATCGCACGTGCACTTTACTAGTACCGTAAAATGTAAATAAGCTTTATTAAATTAATTGGAACACAATTATACATAGATTTTATTTATGGTAATTTCAATTTGCTAAAAATATTGTCGTGTCATACTCCTACACAGCTTTTCAAAATCCGCAAGTCTCCCCCACCAAAAACAGGCTTTAAATACTCCCTCAAAAGCAACACATTACTTAACAACTCAAATAAAAATCGCCATGGAACCAGATGGGGACCCACAGCCACCAACCTTCTGGCATCCACCACCCACATACCTTCGCCACCGCCGCCGTCCTCCGCCGTCTCCGCTCTTCAATCCGGTGTCTCTGATATTAGCCGTGCCGATTATCTCTATACTCGTCATTTTTTTCCTAGTCCCTCCATTTTTGCACTATCCAAATCAAATCTTGAGGCCCAACTCCGTCAAGAGGAGTTGGGACTCTCTCAATATCTTGCTCGTCGTGTTGGCCATTCTCTGCGGCGTTTTCGCCCGCCGGAATGAAGAGGCTCCACCGCCGGAAGCCGCCGCCGCAGCCGATAGCCGGAATATGGGCCGTGTTTCGAGTGTGTCCAGCACGAGGCCAAGGCAATCTGTCCCGGCTTGGCTCAATTTTCCAGATCGGAGGGAATATGATAGTACCTCCGGCGGGATGAGGCGGAGCAGGAATTCCTATCCAGATCTGCGGCAGGAGTCACTGTGGGAGAGCCTGGGTGGAGGAAGCAGGTCTAGGATTTTCGATGATTTCGAGGTGGGATTTTCCCGTTCCCCGCCGGTGAGGTCACCGGTTTACTCGGAGGGCCGACGGGAGCGGCGGACGAGTTTTGTGGTGGAGGGAGAGATCGAGGTGCCCGTCAGAGAGATCCTGGTGGATAAATTGGAAGTTCGCTCCGACCCGCCGCCACCCAAATTGCCGCAGCGTACCCCACCGCCACCACCGCCGCCGCCGCCGCAATCTGCGGCTACTGTGAAGCGGAGACGTTCTCTCCAAAGTGTTCCGCACAGCGAAAACGCTGAAATCCGGCAAGGAGGTGAGGCTGAATTTAATATCGATAAAAATCGTCGGCCGATGCCCCCTCCGGCTCCGCCTCCGCCGCTGGCCGCCGCACCGGAACCTCGAATGCCGGAGGCTGGGAACGAATCGAGTCGCCGGAAAAAGAGCAGCGCCACGAAGGAGATCGCAACAACAATAGCCTCGCTGTACAGAGCCGGTCAGAGGAAGAGAAAGAAGAGATCTGGAAAGAGTCGAAATATCTATGAAACTGCCCCTCAAAATTCCTCGCCGCAGCTAAGATCCACTCCGCCGCCTCCGCCACCCCCTCCGCCGCCGTCCATGGTGATGCAGAACCTCTTCAGAAAGAGCAGCAAGAGCAAACGCGTCCACTCCGTCCCCAGCAACGCCCCTCCTCCACCGCCGCCGCCACCACCGCCTCCTCCGAGCTCGATCTTGAACAACCTGTTCAGAACCGACAGCAAGAGCAAGCGCTTCCAACTGCCGCCCGCATCTCCTTCTCCGCCGCCTCCTCCTCCTCCGCTGCCGCCGTCCTCGATACTCAATTCTCTGTTCAAAAACGGCAGCCAGAGTCATCGTTTCAACAAAAACTCCACCAACAGCCCCTCGCCGGCACCTCCTCCACCCCCAACCCCACCAGCGGAACCCTCACGCCGCCGCCAGCCCAGCAACGGCAGGCCGCCGAAACCCACAAACACCGTCTACGTGGCCCCACCGTCACCGCTGGTCCCGCTGCCGCCACCTCCTCCGCCGCCGCCCTTCAGGATGTCCAAGCCCAAGTTCGTGGCACTGGGGAATTTTGTCAAGATACGCAGCGCCCATAGCTCCCGGTGCAGCTCGCCGGAGCTGGAGGACGCCGACCCTGACGTGGCGGCTAAATCCGAGGGTGTGGATTGGGTCGGGGCCCCGATCATCTGCCCTAGCCCGGACGTGAACGCAAAGGCCGACACCTTCATAGCCAGGCTCCGGGACGAGTGGAGACTGGAGAAGATAAACTCCATCAGAGAAAAGCAGATTTCGGGCTGAATGAACAGGCCCGGCCCGTTTTCAATCAAATCAGCAATCATCTCAGTCTAACAGTTTTACCGTGATGGCTTGTTTTTTTCACCTCTCTTTTCTTTTTGCTCCACTTAACTTTTCCATTTTTTTTTTACTCTTTCACTTTTGGTCTCTTCATTACACGCAAGAGAATACTACATAATTACCTTATGTACAGCATGTCTGATGAGCTGGTATGTGGTACAAGGTAAATTTCACCATAAAGGTGTTCGGGTGTGTCAATTGATGGTGAAAATCGGTGTGTACGTGAGTAAATATTGTGTGGTGTGGCTNATATTGCAATAACAATTGAGGTGACGAAGATGAAATTCCTAAATCAATATTTTTTTTTTAGAGGATGAATAGTAGGCAGGCTCATTTATATACCTGATATTATAGTCTATTATTGATTGTGCCTGGTATTGATTTGTTATGTACTCAAACTTATTATTATTATCATTATTATGGGTATACATATCTCACGTCATGTGTTATTGGAAAAAGTTTGATTTTGGATTTGTCATGTAAGATGTGTGGCCCTTTGAGTATGTGCATTGTACCCTCCCAGATTTTTGAGGCTCCTTTTTTGTGTTTTATTTCGTTATTGCCTTATTCGTGGCGCTAGAACGAACCCAATTTTCCAAACCTCCACACCTAACAAAACTCAATAGCCACATTACAATGGCTTTTGCAACTTGATACACAAATTATCCCAAGACATAGTTGAACTGCAATCCACGAGCTTGGACCAGTTTGTCGTTTCCGATAACCTGCAAAATACTTGGAGGATTCTCGACGGAAAAAGGCTTTGACTCTCAAGTTAGTCCGTGCACAATGAATAACAAGAACCACGTGTATTGGAATCTACAGTTTTGCTATGGAGCCATCGGATGGCTCGACTTAGAGAGCCATCCACACTTATTTACCAATAGTGTATTGACAAGTGTCCTGCAATAAATCACTTTGGACATTTGTCAATATATTAAGTGGTGGATGACTCCATAAGAAAACCATCCGATGGCTCAATAGAATTTTTGTTGGAATCTATGTGTGTACTGTATTGTATTGTGTAAAATAAAGAACTTGAATAACTTTTTATATTTAGGATTACTTGGTAGCCATATCTACTTTCCTAATTAACCGGATTTATTGTATCTTGATTCCTTGAAGTTATACACTTCCTACCCTCAAACTATACGGCTCTCAGGTCTCGAGGTCATAATACTAACCTTTTACCATCCTGCCACAAGTATGTCGAGGTCATTCACCTGACCTCAATCCTACCGACCTGCATATTGTGAGGTCTCTTCTGTCTTCGAGCTCAGAAGTCTTTCGACTCCGAGATACATGCTTTTATGGTCTCATGACCTCCGAGCTATATGCTTCTATGGCCTTCCAATCTCCGAGCTGTACTTGGTCCTTGAGCGGCCAAGTTAAGCACTAAACTGGAATGAGCTCTCCAGAACCGTTTATGGCCTAGCTGACACCTCTGGTGAACCGAACTCTGCTGGGAGCTATATCTCTAGCCCCCCCTTCTTGGACGAGCTATGGGGACTTGTTCAAAAATATTCAATACGCGTAAAATCTACGCTTTTTTCTTCAATCCTCAGGCGCGTGATCTAAAATTTGTGCCCATAAAAAAATTTCTTTTCAAATTCTCCACACGCGTCCATCCTCTATGTCGTAGATCTGCATTTGAAATCAACACCCCTAATCACCCGACCTTTCACTTATAACATATGTCCACCTCCCTTAATCTAGACCACCCAACATACTCTGATCGGACTGAGATGCAATATTGACAGAGTCTTACCGTCTTCTTCTCTATAAAAGTTGTACCAATAAACCAGTTACAAACTTTTGCTTTTCTGCGCTTTTGAAACTCCCATGAGCAAGAATAATCCAACAACCTCAAGCATTTTCCAGTGATCTTCCGTTTTTAGATCTCTACTTTCGCAATTATCATGTCGAGCAACTTTATGGGTATGTACGATTGAATTCATCTCGTCATTTTTGTTTTCGTGAGTGGATGAATAATGAATTAAAGTTGATGTGATTTGTAAGAATGATTGGTTGATACTATTTGATTATATTGATAATATTGATGATAGTGAGATTGAATTAATTTGAGTTTTAATTAATTTTTAATTAATTTAGTTTATATCCAGTCACACCCTTAGTGATCATTATTTGTGTAACTATTGCAGTTTTTTTTTTTCTTTCTTATTTAGTGCAGGTTGCACTTGCACGTGAAGAGTTGCAAATTTTCAAAAAAGAAAAATAGAAACACACAGTGAATATTGCATACTGGTCCTTGCGAATTTGAAAAGTGAGGCAATCGTGAGAGTTTTGAAAAATGGAGGGGCGCCATAGACAACTACAAAAACTTGTCCTCTTAACCAAAATGAGCCTTTCCTTTGAATTCAACCCCTCTACAGAGAGAGAGAGAGAGAGAGAGAGAGGGATTGATAGAGTTGAGACACGCAATCCAAAGAGCGGAAGGTCCGCCCCAAACATCGAATGCCCTGACACACACACAACACAACACTACTTGTAAGATTTCTTGGTCATCTCCTTCATTTTATTTTAGATTCGTAGATTGTTATTACATTTATGAGACAACTGCTTCTGCTTTTATCACTTTATTCATCTTCTGGTAGCGGCGATAATTTCTATGTTTAGTTCTTGATGTTTTTTTAGTTTCTGCAGATATGACTTGAACCCAATTTCCCCAAATCCAATCCGATTGCTTTTACTTCTATAGTGTTGTTTCAAATTTCAATCAGATTATCCCTTATGCATAATTTAGCTTTTTTTTTTTTTAATTAATTTCATGGGTTTTTAGTTCTGATTAATAAGTCATTTCAGATGTAATTTCAGAAGCCTTTATTTGGGTATGTAATTTTGAATTGGAAAAACTGCGTGTATGTGTGTGTTGTGTACTGAATTATGCAGTTTGCAAGATAATGCTGTCGAAACAAAATAGCCGGAAGAAGGCCGCTGGCCCATCAGGCAACAATGGCAGGAAGTTCCTAACCGACCTCGACACCATGACCAGCGCTTTCTACGCCCCGTCGAGGCTCACCAGCTCCACCGCCAGCAGCCGTTCCAAGTCAGTCAGCAAAACTCCCGCCCAAGAACCCAAAAAAAAGCCCGACGACCCCAAGCCCCGGGCCAAACCCCTGCTCGACCAGGACAAGAAGCCCTCCATCTGGAGCTGGAAAGGCCTCCGGGCCCTGACCCAAGCCCGCCACCGCAGGTTCAACTGCACCTTCTCCCTCACGGTCCACTCAGTCGTGGGCCTGCCACTCTCCCTCGAGGGCTCCTGCCTTGTGGTCCATTGGAGAAGGCGAGATGCTGACTGGCCCACACGGCCCGCAAGAGTCTCCCGTGGCTCGGCCGCTTTCGGGGACGAGCGGCTCACCCACTCGTGTTCCGTGTATGGGAGTAAAAGCGGACCCCACAACTCGGCAAAATACGAGGCTCGACAATTCTTGCTCTACGTCTCGATTCTTGGTTCGCCTGAGGTTGACTTAGGGAGGCACCGGGTTGACTTGACGAGGCTGCTCCCGCTCAAGCTGGAGGAGCTCGAGGAGGAGGATAAGTGCTCGGGAAAGTGGACGACTAGTTTTAGGCTGTCGGGTAGGGCGAGTGGGGCCACGGTGAACGTCAGTTTCGGGTATGATGTGGCTGAAAATGTGTCCTGTGGTGAACAGTCGGGAAAAATGGATGACGGGTCGGAGGACGTGAAGGAGCTTCACGAGGTTTTGCCGGTGATGAGCTCGGAGCTTTGTGACTCGGTAAATGTGTTGTACCAGAAGCTGGATGATGAGGCGTGTGATGATTCGGTTGGGAATAAAGTGGAAGAAGATGATTGTTTGGTATCTTCGTCCTTTGACCGACATGGTGTGGAGTTATTATTAGCAGCAGATGATGATGGCGAACGAGCTTGCGGAAATGAATGTGAAATAGATGAATTTTCTGTTGTAGACAAAGGTACAGTGGAGTCGACTGAAGAAAATGTGATACATGAAGATGAATCACGTAGAGATGGTCTAGAAGCTGACTTGGCTATTAAGGTGGTAGCTCCTGATGAGGAGGGCTCCCCTCGTAACTTGAGTGTCCTTCAAAATGATGAGCAGCTGGAAAACATTAAGAATAATGTAAAGCGTGAGCAAGCTGAAGTTTTCTCCAAGGAATCACTCATGAAAGACCTGGAAGCGGCTCTAAGTTGTGCCACGGACTTGGCGAATGAAGTAGATTCTCAGGACGAATCTGACTACGGAGATTGTAAAATGGGAAAATCACCGAGTTTGGATGATGTCACTGAGGCTGTGGCCAATGATTTCCTTGAGATGCTGGGCATAGAGCACGATGGCCCAATTATCTCGGAATCAGAATGCGAGCCCGAGTCCCCAAGAGAGCGCCTTCTTAGGGAATTCGAGATGGATTCTCTTTCCAATGGAGGTTTACTAAACTTTCTTGATTTCGAAAGTTCGTCATTGTTTGAAGATTCCGTGCACATGCCTGACACCGAGAACAATGCATTCGTGACTAAACCGAGTGCCTCGATGATGGAGGATCTGGAGACTGAGGCCTTGATGCGCGAGTGGGGCCTGGATGAGCACGCTTTCCAACACTCGAGCAGTTTTGGGAGCCCGATCCACGTGGATCCTCCAGAGGATACTCAGCCTCTGCCCCCACTTGCAGAGGGCGTGGGCCCCTTTGTGCGGACTGAAAATGGAGGGTTTGTTCGGTCCATGAGCCCCGCGCTTTTCGAGAACTCGAAAAACGGGGGGAGCTTGATCATGCAGGTGTCGAGCCCTGTGGTGGTGCCTGCTGAGATGGGTTCGGGCGTGATGGACATACTTCAGGGCCTGGCCTCTGTTGGGATCGAGAAGCTCTCCATGCAGGCTAATAAGTTGATGCCATTGGAGGACATAACTGGGAAGACGATCGAGCAAATTGCATGGCAAAGTGCTCAGAGTCTAGAGGGACCAAGGAGGTTTGTTAATTGTTACTTGTCCTTTTCACTATCTTTGGCATTTCCAGTGTTTTTCAGTGACATATTTCATGTATTTTTAATATTCTAGGCAAGATTTACAACCGGATGAATTTGGAATCTCAAAAAATACGCGTAATGAGCGGAAGGGCGCGCATGGAAAATCCCATGTTCCGAATTCGAGCAAGTCCCACTCTAGTCTGGCTAGCATTGACTCGGAGTACGTATCTTTAGAAGACCTCGCTCCTCTAGCCATGGATAAAATCGAAGCCCTATCAATCGAGGGCCTCAGAATACAATCCGGCATGTCTGACCAAGGCTCGGCTCCCAACATCACTACCCAGTCAATCGGTGAATTCTCGGCCCTCAAGGGAAAGACTGCGGGCCTAGACGGGCCAATCGGCCTCGATGGCACATGTGGACTACAGCTAATGGACATCAAGGACGATGGCCAGGCCCAAGAAGGCCCGGATGGGCTGATGGGCCTATCCCTGACCCTCGACGAGTGGATGAAGCTCGACTCTGGAGAAATCGACGAGAATGAGCTCGCAAGCGAGCGGACTTCGAAAATACTGGCAGCCCACCATGCCACGTCACTTGAAGCCTTCAGAGGAAGGTCGAGGGGGGACAAAAGACGTGGCAGGGCCCGTAAATATGGGTTACTGGGAAATAATTTTACGGTTGCTTTAATGGTGCAGCTTCGTGACCCTTTGAGGAACTATGAGGCGGTGGGTGCCCCTATGCTAGCACTCGTTCAGGTCGAGAGAGTCTTTGTGCCGCCAAAGCCGAAAATCCATGGTACAGTTTGCATGGTGAGGGACTTTGTGGAGAAAGAAGAAGAAGATGATGATGATGAAAATGTTGTTGAGAAGAAAACGAAAGATGAGGTTCGAGAAGAGGAAGTGGTGATCCCGGAATATAAAATAACGGAGGTTAGTGTGGCTGGGCTGAAGGCAGAAGAAGGTAGTAAGAAGAAGTTGTGGGGTTCTTCTGTGAACCAGCAGCAGACCGGTTCACGCTGGTTGCTTGCGAGTGGAATGGGAAAGAAGAATAGCAAGAATCAAGTGATGAAGTCGAAATCTTCGGGTGATGCTTTGTGGAGTATATCTTCTCGCGCGCGTAAATCGCTTAAATGATGCATTTGGAGTTGGAATTTGTCATTTTGGCTTGATTGATTGTACATTCAATTAGCGTCATTTTGGCTTGATTGATTGTACATTCAATTAGCGTCATTTTGGCTTTGTGAAAAAGAGGATATATTGAAGTCATTTTGTCGATCTTTTTTTGGGGAAAAGGAACATAGGTTGAATGAACACACATTGATGTGCTGAAAAATGTTTCACATTTCAGCTGTAAATCCAGGGCTTTGTAGTTGTTGTTATTTGTGCCTGAGTTTTGTCATGTTGCTGGTTTATTTAGGTGATGTTCATGAAATTGTTCTTGAAACTAGAATACACGGAATTAGCTATTTAATACTTAATAGGTAAAAAGGTATAAAAGTAAGAAGTAACTACTAGCAGATT